ATGTCACGGATACTTGCTTCATCATCCTTCACCGATAGAGTGCATCTGCAAATTATCGCTGTAAATGTATCACTGTGGGATTCACCGCTGACGGCTGACTTTTCTCATCAAACGCTGGTTTTTTGTGACACGTTCATTCGCCAGAATAATTGTAGGGCGACGCGTCGCGTTGCCTCGATTACATTACACGCGAATGTCCTGAATATGCATGAACACGCTGATATACCCGGTTTTTTGTGTTTTTGTTTTACATTCGTTTATTTTTGAAACACTGTTTGAACAATTAATGTCTGGGGATTTTCTGGATATGGATGTATGCGTATACGTAAAAGGAGCGAGAATGAAAACCACTTCAGTTGCCGTGCTATACAGCAGGCAGTCGTTTAGTATTTCCATAAGGGGAACTGAAGTATATGCTTTGACACTGTATGTTAAAAACTGGGGTGAAGTAAAATGCCTCGTTGATATAATATTTAACCCTTTGCGGTCAGGTTTACCTTTTTCTCAGGAAATTATTCATTAAGACAGGAAAAAAGGAATGCATATTATTTATACAACGTAGACAGAACTCCGGAAAGATTGCAGTTTTTCAAGGAAATTAGACACCTCACACTGTCGTGCTTTAGACAAGAAAAATTGTTATACCTTTCTCGTATGGAAAAAGGGCGTAGTCAGAAGAAATTGTTGAAAAATTTGAAAGCAAAAACTAAGTATTCTAAACCATCATGCAGATTTGTTTCTTCTAAATGCTTCATGTAAGTTTTTGATTCTATAAGTACTCGTGATCACGTTTAAAGGTATTAGGAATGTCAAAGGAGGTGTGGATTTATCGAAAAATTACAGCGAAAATTTGCCGTTCCCTAGACAACGGGAAATAGTAATATCATAAGGGCATCTAATTTCTCTGAAAAAAAAATCGGAAAAACACGTTGCTAAGTAATATTTTAACAAGAAGCATGAGTGCTGGTAGCAACAAAAATCCGAATCGAAGACGAGAATTTCTGAACCTGCACGAATATTTTTTGTTAAAAAGATATTACTTTCCCTTATCGTCCGCTTTAGTCATTGCTGCATCCTGCCTTTTTCTAACCCATATGCTCCTTACTTTCATACCTATTTCCCTCAAATACCCAATAATTTCTTTTACTTTCACCCTGATTTTACCTTTGGTCCCTCATCAATTTATGAATCTGCCTGCGACCTGACTGTCTGTTCTTGCTGTCAGTGGCGGCCATTTATGCTCCTTTGCCTGCTGAAGGAATTTTCATATGGCTACCATCTCTCAGTGTGCAGTATTGGTCACGCCCTCTTTACTTTCCATCCATTCCATGTATTCCATTTTTTTGTTCACTATAGCTGTCTACACCAGGCTTACCTTCTTTCATACTACACACACATCTACACTTCCGATCCACCCACTTTCAAATTCTTGCTCTGTGTCTTCTTCGTTCATTGCACATGTCTTCCAAGGTGGGTGAGGCTTATCTTCTCCCAACATTTGCTCTCAGCAATTTCATTCCTTTCCCCATTCGACTTTAGTTTTCTCACTACCCTACTGCAGCTGTGCAGCGAAGCTTCCTCCAGTTATTTGGTCTCTTCCAAATATCTTATGAATCTGGCTACTTCCCAGAAAACTGTAAATTTGAACATGTCCATCTCATCGCAAAAAAAGAATCTATGACTAACACTTACAACTGCAGGCCTATAGCTCTGCTTTCTGTTAGAAGTAAGGTGATGGAGAGGTGCATAAATCGCGAACTTCTGGACTATCGCGAACGTCACAGCTTGATTAGCGACAGGCAGTATGGTTTCCGGCACCAACGATCCACAGGGGATCTCCTAGCTTACGCCACGCAATTGTGAAGTAAACTCATCCAGTCTTATGGTGAGGCTCATGTCGTCGCTCTTGACATCGCGAAAGCGTTCGATCAGCTGTGGCACGCTGCTCTCTTAAGCAAACTTCCATCCTACGGCCTCCCAGAAAAGCTTCGCAGATGACTGGCTGACATTATCTCTAGCCGTAAAATATCCGTAGTATACTAAGTGACATATAAATCCGAACACGCAGTTTAAATGGTTTTATTTTAATAAAAGTTGGTGAACCTATTTATCTTACTGTAAATAACAAGTGAAAAAAGTTTCAGCCTTACCAGTTGGACATTCCGGTTTTTATACTGGTTTTTTTTTAATTCACTAACGCTCTAAAAATGAATATTTCAGCCGCAGTAAAGAATCAGCGTTGGCGGATTTTGGTTCTTGACATCTTTTACGATCGGTTAGATGCCTAGAGTACGGAGACCTGTATGATTTCGTCAACTTAGTGAGTTTGATAGGGGCCGTATAGTGGGACTTCGGGAAGCTGGACTTTCTTTTCGGGCAATTGCAGTTAGAGTGCAAAGAAGTGTAGACACTGTGGTTAGGTGTTGTCAGGCATGGCTTCGAGAAGGCCGTACGCAAAGAGCAAGGGGCACTGGACGCCGCCGTAGAACAACAGACCGTGAAGATCGCCGCCTAAGATTATTGGCCTTAACGGACCGTTTCTCCACTACCAGGTCCATTACAAATGAGTGGTTTGCAGAACACGGAAGACCTATTGGCATGCGAAGTGTTTACCGACGAATGAGAAGTTTTGGCTTGTTTTCATACCGGCCACACTGGGTCCTCCCTTTAACTCGAGAACACCGACGTAATCGCCTTGAGTGGTGCAGACAACGGTCACTCTGGGATCAGGAATGGAACAGTATTGTCTTTAGTGACGAGTCTCGATTTTGTTTAGGCATGCACGATGGTCGTGCCAGGGTTAGAAGGCGACGTGGTGAAAGCAGGAATCCACAGTTTTTTGTTGAAAGACATATTCATCACACTGTTGGAGTTATGGTTTGGGGTGCCATAGCTTATGGTTCCAGGTCACCTTTAATCTTCATCAGAGGTAACATGAACGCGCGAACACGAAGTTCTAGGACCCCATCTTTTACCCTATCTTGACACCCTGGCAGATCCAACTTTCCAACAAGATAATGCCCGACCACATGTTGCAAGAGTCACAATAGACTTCTTTCAACATAATGATGTCACATTGTTACCATGGCCACCAAGATCTCCCGACTTATCCCCAATTGAGCACGTGTGGGATATGATGGGTAGGAGATTGCTCAATTTGCAACGTCCTCCTCAGACTCTAGAAGCACTTCGAGAGGAGTTGGTGGTTGCCTGGAATGAGATACCACAGGAGGACATTGACCACCTGACCAGAAGCATGCCTAGGTGCGTTGGAGAATGCGTAGCACATCAGGGTGCATCCACACATTATTAAAGGTCAAAGGGCTTTAAAGCAGTGCAATCCTTTTGAAATTTTTATCATTTACTTATTATGCTTTATTAAGTACTTATACAAAATTTTATCAAAATAAAACCATTTAAACTGGGTGTTCGGATTTATATGTCACTTAGTATAATTGACGGGTTCCCCACAACGTTAACGCGGGTGTTCCCCAGAGATCGGTCTTGGCTCCGATACTATTTCTCATACATATCAATGACCTCCTTTTCTGCACGATCAACTCAATCCACAGCTTCGCTGATGACAGCACTCTACATGCAGAAATTCGGAGTGTCAAGCCGATCTCTGCCACCGAGCTGGAAAAAAGAAGACTTGCGACGACTTCCTCGCTGACGGGAGACCTGGAATTTATCACTGCTTGGGAACGCAACAATCTTTTACAGTTTAATGCTTCCAAAACACAGTACCTTGTACCTTGATGAACAAAAACGTCCAAGCGCTCATACGGTTTCGATGGATGACCGAGTTCTGCCAAAGAGCCATTCATTTCGGCTGGTCGGAGTCCAGATCACAAAGGACCTGATCTGACACGAACACATTTCGTCAATAACTGCAGCTGCTGGGAAAAGCTGGGCTATTTGTTTAGCGCTAAGAAGTGCTTTCCTCCGCTTGTCCTTCTCACTCTATTCAAGGCCCAGATAAGGCCTAGCCTTGAGTGTTGCTCACAGAGGAGAGCTGTCCAACTGATCGATGACTCTTCTCCAACAGACAATCTCGGGACCCTTTCGCACCGGTAGACCGACGGCGATCTAGCTCTCTTCTACCGCTACACAAAGGGTTTTAAGCCTGCCGAACAGACCCGCCTGACTTTGGCTTCCCATCATAATCGTGTCGAACTTCTTACATCCGATACGACCGCTCCTTTGTCCCGAAGGTGTCGAGATTGTGGAGCAATCTACAAGAGGAAGCTTGTCCCAGTTCTACTAACCTTAGGCAGTCAAAAAATCGGATTAACAAATTTTATTTGAGATCATCATAGCACTCGCGGTGTCCCGGCATTTGGGCTTTTGCCTGTGCGGCTGCTTCTGTGTATAAAGGAACTAACTCTTTCATACAGTAAGGTTAGAATTTCTTTGCCTAATATCCTCTTTGTAATACCTCTTAACTTTCCTATTATTCCTCCAATCCTTCTTCTCAATTGTTTTGACGTGCTCATTGTAATTTTGCTTCTTATCCTTAGTCAATTACTGTGGCTTGTGTATTCATGGCAATTTAAGTTTTTAGGTGCCCCAATCCACCTAAATTCGTGCCATACTTCCTTCTCTCCTTGTTTACCGAGCCACTATTCCCACAATAACTACAATATCTATTGGGCATACCGAATGTATAATTTTTTTCTACGCAAAAGTACATGTCTTTATCCGCTGGGTACAAACAGTAATTTCCGGTTTGGCCAAGAAATTTGTTTCAATTTTTTGCTTCTGACTTCACCTGTCAGTACGGATCTTCGTGTATAATTATCAAGAAAAACTGAAGCATGAGACCTCTTAGTCCTCCCCTGTATTCATCATGTTACAGGTGAGACTCACCGTAAGGCAAAATTATACATTTTCTTATTGTAACTTTTGTACTCACATTGAAAAAGAAGAACGTCACGGTAAATGGTCGCAAGGACTGGTTTGATTGGATGATAGATGATTGCTTGAATTAAACTAAAACATTTATTTTGAAATTGTTTATTTCTGCTAAATTACAATACAGTACAGTACGTACAGATACATTTTTAACTTTAAATCTATCTTATCACAGAAACATACGTTTTATTGAAAACTAAACGTTATACATTGTTGATAGTAATACTAGTAAAATAGGCACTATTACCAGCAGGTGTATTGATTTCACGGGGTATGCAACAGTCCAATGTATTAAATGCGAAATTTTGTTTAATGCGCATATTTCACAAAAACCCCGTAGCAGCTAGGTTTGACATTCAAAAATCACATTTCATAATGTAAAAATTCCATCCCCATATTTCGTACCCTTAAATACGAAATAGAGTTCCGTGATATGACTTTTGAAAGGTCAAATCTACTGCTTAAATCAAAATTTGCAGAAATAGCAAGATGTAGATGATGTAAGGATTATTGCATGACTTGATACACAATGTATAGTCGAAATCACGAAAGATGACGATTACGTCATCATTTTACTCTGTAGCAAAGACTAACGACAGCGATTTGTAGGAATATCTTTAATGAAGTTTTAGATATGTTAGACAGAGACAAATATAATTTTATTGTCTAAACAAACTGTATTGCTAATTTGCATGTATCCGACATAGATAGATGATGTTTTCATGTTGCATGATCGATCATATTTCAGAGACGAATAGTTAGGTTATGTTAACGCAAGTTAGGTTGTTTTCTAATAATACTTTGGGATTTGGTGTCCCTGCCTTAAGGAATTCTACTCATAAATCTACTGCAAAAATCAAAATTTGCAGAAATAGCAAGATGTAGATGATGTAAGGATTATTGCATGACTTGATACACAATGTATAGTCGAAATCACGAAAGATGACGGTTACGTCGTCATTTTGATCCGTAGCAAAGACTAAGGACAGCAATTTGTAGGAATATTTTTAATGAAATTTTAGATATGTTAGACAGAATTTTATTGTCTAAACAATTTGTATTGCTAATTTGCACGTATCCGACATAGATAGACGATGTTTTCACGTTGCATGATCGATCATATTTGCAAGATGAATAGTTAGGTTATGTTAAAGCAGGTTAGGTTCTTTTCGAATAATACTTTGGTCTTTGGTGTTCCTGCCTTAAGGTATTCTACTCATAACTGTTTTTTCAAAACAAAAACTCCGCACTAAAATTATTATTAAATTATCACTCAAAACCATGAAATAAAACGAAAATAAAAATAATCAGTGAAATAAGCTAAATCATAATATAAATTTGTTGTCATTATGTTCCTGACATCATGATTTTATCATCGAAGTACGTCCATTGATTACTTCGGTACAATTTATGATGTGACGTAATAGTCATCTTTCGTGATTTTGACTATAGAAGATGTTTTAAATATCCACGCTTCAGGGGATATTCTCTTTGCAATAATTTTGAGAAAAATAACACAAATGAACGGAACACCTACTATCCACTTAGATATTCAGGGGTTGCGTCCTTCACGATGAGATAAATTTTCTCTGAATATGCACAATCAGCAAAATAAGGAATTAATTCCATTTGCGTGCTCCGCACTGAATATGCATATTTGTTTGAGATTATAAATGAGCTTAATCAGAGAAATACAGAACTTGTGGTGCTTGAAGGTAGTCACCGTTTGGGACAATAAGAAAGTGTTGAAGCACTTTTAATTTCGGAGTGAACCAACTCATTAAAATACTCAATTAATTCATGAAGTATAAGCCCAATATGTTATCTTCGTGTCTAGGTTTCAAGGTCTATCTAATTTTTTTTTTAATACTGAGTAGAATGGTGGAACTTGAAAGAAAAGATAACCGGGTTAGCTTACTGAATACAGTCTTCTAGTAATTACAAATTAATTAGGATCAAAATATTCAGGAACTACTGGAGGGGCATCTCTCCTCCACCTGTGAGTAGCACCTACGTGCCAAGTCTCTCGGCCTCTGTTTGGACCCCTAAGGACTCTGCCATAACCTGCATCTACATCTGTATTTTTTCCTGTTCTCTTGACTTCTACCCTTCCCTCGGTGTTTCCATCATTGCCTTTGGACACCGAAGGGTTCACCTCCCACGGGTTCTTATTCTGGGTAGGCTGGACAGAACGTCTCCACCTGTGAGTAGCTCCTACGTGCCAAGTCTCTCGACCCCTGTTTGGACCCCTGAAGACTTTACCATAACCTGCGTTCACATCAGTATTTTCTCCTGTTCTCTTGACTTCTACTCGTCCCTCGGTGTTTCCGTCATTGCCTTTGGACACCGAAGGGTTCACCTCCCACGGGTTCTTATTCTGGGGAGGCTGAACAGAACGTCTCCACCTGTGCGTAGCTCCTACATGCCAAGTCTCTCGACCCCTGTTTGGACCTCTGAAGACTTTACCATAACCTGCATTCACATCAGTATTTTCTCCTGTTCTCTTGACTTCTACCCTTCCCTCGGTGTTTCCATCATTGCCTTTGGACACCGAAGGATTCACCTCCCACGGGTTCTTATTCTGGGTAGGTTGGAGAGAACGTCTCCACCTGTGCGTAGCTCCTACGTGCCAAGTCTCTCGACCCCTGTTTGGACCCCTGAAGACTTTACCATAACCTGCATTCACATCAGTATTTTCTCCTGTTCTCTTGACTTCTACTCGTCCCACAGTGTTTCCGTCATTGCCTTTGGATACTGAAGGGTTGACTTCCCACGGGTTCTTATTCTGGGTAGGCTGGATAGAACGTCTCCACCTGTGCGTAGCTCCTACATGCCAAGTCTCTCGACCCCTGTTTGGACCCCTGAAGACTTTACCATAACCTGCATTCACATCAGTATTTTCTCCTGTTCTCTTGACTTCTACTCGTCCCTCGGTGTTTCCATCATTGCCTTTGGACACCGAAGGATTCACCTCCCACGGGTTCTTATTCTGGGTAGGCTGGACAGAACGTCTCCACCTGTGAGTAGCTCCTACGTGCCAAGTCTCTCGACCCCTGTTTGGACCCCTGAAGACTTTACCATAACCTGCATTCACATCAGTATTTTCTCCTGTTCTCTTGACTTCTACTCGTCCCACAGTGTTTCCGTCATTGCCTTTGGATACTGAAGGGTTGACTTCCCACGGGTTCTTATTCTGGGTAGGCTGGATAGAACGTCTCCACCTGTGCGTAGCTCCTACATGCCAAGTCTCTCGACCCCTGTTTGGACCCCTGAAGACTTTACCATAACCTGCATTCACATCAGTATTTTCTCCTGTTCTCTTGACTTCTACTCGTCCCTCGGTGTTTCCATCATTGCCTTTGGACACCGAAGGATTCACCTCCCACGGGTTCTTATTCTGGGTAGACTGGAGAGAACGTCTCCACCTGTGAGTAGCTCCTACGTGCCAAGTCTCTCGACCCCTGTTTGGACCCCTGAAGACTTTACCATAACCTGCATTCACATCAGTATTTTCTCCTGTTCTCTTGACTTCTACTCGTCCCACAGTGTTTCCGTCATTGCCTTTGGATACTGAAGGGTTAACTTCCCACGGATTACCCTGCGAAGGTTGAAGAGAACGTTTATTTCTAGCACCTGTTTCTTCCTCAGCAAGTTCGAACAACATTGGAGGAACATCTAAATGCCAAGTTCCATGGTCCTTAGATGAACCTCCCAAGTCTTCCACCTCTACATCAATGTTTTTTCCAGTTCGCTTAGCTTCTATACTTTCTGCACTGCTTCCATCGTCCCCCTTTGGTATGGAAGGATTTACCTTCCAAGGTTGGTCGTCATCTGGCGATCTCCTGAACCTTATTTTTGTTCCAACGTGCCAAGTGGGATCTGCTTTTGGATTAGTTAAGTCTTGCGAAAATCCAGCGTTGAATTCGTGTTGCTCCCCAGAATGTCTAACTTCTATGTCAGACCGAACTGATCCATCATCTCCGTGGACTATTTGTGGGTTAAACGACCAAGGTTTTCTCTCTTGCCATGTCTGAGCACCGACAACGACACACAAGCATAGTGATAATAGTTCAAGAGTCAACATCTGAAACAATTTTAAACCATCAGTCCTCCCTAATTAAACATTTGATGTTTCTAAGTCAAAAGTTATGATTTTTGGACCAAACAGATTATAGTTGAAAATAAAAATCTATATCATCTTTAGCTTAAACAACTTTCCTTTGCCAATTACAACTGTAAGCAAGACTCTGGGTTTATGGTTGGATAATGAATTAATACTAGGAGTTATATTCAAAATCTTGCGACATCGTCAGACAATAATATCCTCAACGACATTTACTAAATAGGTAGTTGAAATTACAGCTGTGTGATTCACTAATAATTTTGTGATGCTGTATATGGAACCGCTTTGTTGCAAAGTAATACGATCAAGCTGTAGGCTTCTTCTAGCCACCTTCTCTACCTGATAATAATGAGATCAATCTTCAAAAATTCAGCTAGAATAAGGCTGACTATACGATTTTTCAAGTTATATCATATGAGTACTATGATTTTATATTGAATAAGTTGAAATTTAAACAGGTATACTTGTGTATAAGGCAATGGTTACAAACCACATGTATTACTTTATTATTATACGACTCTATTCTTAAGGCCATCTGTCACGATAATTCGGTATCAAACTTTGTGAAAAAACGCGTAACTGTCTATCATGTAAAGAAATTTTTGTAACAAATTTGATACGAAATCATTGGTTGTTTCATTTGATTTTTTTTTGTTTTTACAATAAAAATATTCTAAAATACGAAAATTGGTAGTCAAATGTGCATTATTGACGTTATCTCATGCTAGGCTTCAAAATAGTTCAATTTTTGTTAACAAAAATCTTCGTTCATCCCAAAAACTCAATTTACTAGAAACAATCACCTACAAATTTTTCGTGCAAAACAATTTTAAAATATCTACGTTTCATTACCTTTCAAATGAGGTATCAAAGTCACAAACCGGTTTAGAAATGACAAATATATGAGCGAAAGAAATAGTGAATAGTGTGATAAGTAAGACTAGTCACCCCCCTCCCTCCCCCGCCTCAATTTGCTCTTGCGATTTTTTGCGTTCGGATGTGTTTGCTTGCTCGCTGTTTTGATATTTCTAACGACTTGTTGGACTTCCGTGTGTGATTCTTTTCCTGACGACGTAGACTGTACCCTGTTTTCTGTGATTCCTTACGATTTGGCTGCTGTGTGAGTTGATTGTTCGTTGATCTACCTATCGATGAACAATGGCTGATGAACAAAGGAGGCGGCCATTCAGTTTTGAAGAATATGCCGATATCCTTTTCTATTACGGAGATGCCAGAGGCAATGCTGAAGAAGCTAGTCGTGAGTATGGGGAAATGTTTCCTAATCGTCGCCTACCTGACGACCGCGTGTTTAGGCAAACGTTCCGTCGGGTTCGAGAGCCCGGTAGTGTCGTAAGATATCAAGGTAAGTTTGCATCATTAACTCATTATAATCAGTCATTCAGTAAGGCCTATGTAGAGCCTTGGAGGTATGTGGGCTGAACTGATGATACTGTAACATAGTTGTTTTGATACAGTTGATTGAACTTCTTAATTAAGGGTTTATTCATTTAATTTTAACACAAGCATCTACACGGCTCTGAAGATGGAAACATCCACACGTTGTGTATCGTTTTTTCTAAATAATATTTTGCCAACTCTAGCTCATAGTCTTACCGCTATGTTTATTAGGCAACAATTTCCTCCAAAATTTGTTTTTCATTTTATTTCAGGTGATGCAGGTAGACCTCGACATGATGTGGAAGAAGAAGAAGAAATATTAAATATTTTCCAACGAGACCCTACTCTCTCTACTCGCGCTGTGGCTCGACGGTTTGGATTATCCCAATGGCAAGTGTGGTATGTTTTGCATGAAAACATAATCCGCCCTTACCACTACACACCGGTGCACGTCATAGAGGAAGGAGATCCCATGAGGCCCATGCAAATTTGTCGTTTTATTTTAAACGCTGATGTTGAAGATAGCAATTATTTAAGAAAAATTCTATGGACCGACGAATCAAAATTTGATAAAGACGGCATAACAAACTACCATAAAGCTTATTATTGGCGTGAATGTGCAGTGGGAAATCCTCATATGAAGAGACCAAAAGGATCTCAAAGGCGATTTTGTCTGAATGTCTGGATGGCCATTATAAATAACTGTTTGGTAGGACCACATTTCCTACCCGACAACTTAAATGGAGAAGCCTACGAACATTTTTCAAGAAATGTTCTATTTGAATTACTTGAAGACGTGCCGCTACACACAAGACACAGAATGATTTTTCAGCATGACGGGTGCCCGGCAGATTTCAGACTAAGTGTTACAAATTGGTTAAATGAGCAGTTTCCAAATCGATGGATCGGTAGAGACGGACCAATCCCATGGCCAGCACGCTGTCCAGATTTTACACCTATGGACTTTTTTGTGTGGGGTCGCATGAAAACTTTGGTATACTCTGACCAAAATCCTGTACCAACAATAGAAGGCCTCAGAAACAGGATAATACAAGCAGCACAAGAAATTCAAGCCTCTCTTAGGAATTCGGCGGTAGTAAAATCAGCTGTCATAAGAAGAGCACGTGTTTGCATGAGAAATATTGAAAATGTATTATAAAAATAAAAAAATGTAGTTTCAAACAAATTATCCTGAATTAAGGTATGATTTTGTAAGTGTAGTATTTTTATTACTTTTCCCTTCCTCCTCTTATAATAGTCATCTTTTTGCCAATTCGTAATCGATTTGTGATTTTTATACCTCATTTGAAAGGTAATGAAACATAGATAATTTCTAATTATTTTGTACGAAAAATTTGTATGCGTCTTTTTCTAGTAAACTGAAGCTTTTGAGAAGAACGATGATTTTTTTTAACAAAAATCTAACTATTTTGGAGCTTACTGCATGTGATGCCGTCGATAATGTACATTTGAGTATCAATTTTCGTATTTTAGAATATTTTTATTGTAAAACCAAAAAAAAAATCAAATGAAACACCCAATTTTCAAGTTCTGACTTGGTTAACGTATAAAGGACGTTAATTTTATAAAATCTTAAAAATTAGTATAATTCCAAAACGGTTAATTTTCGGACAGAGGTTCGTATAGTAAAATCGACTCAGATTGGCTTGTACTATCACCCCCCCCCCACCCGCTCCGCATCTATTTTCCCATCACCCTGTATATTCTATGCGACTGCCACAGCAGCGATATACGTTGTAGTTGTAGCTCACCTCACGAAAAAACGTAAACGAAACCGTAAAAGGACTTGGTGTCGAAGAATAGATCAGGGAGATAAATATAAAAAATCGGTTTCCGTTTCATTCACATCAATTTTTATTAGATTTCTGCAGAATTACTAGGGTCTCTTATTATAAAACTCTTGTACATCAGATCACGAAGCTCATATTTGACTATACAGATATTCAGAAGGCCCCGATGAGGAAAAACTGAAACCTTACCATAACAACGAAGATAATTATTTCAAATTGTGATTGATATATCTATTGTCTTTTTTATCATTTAAATGTTACTTTCTGTATTCAGAATAGAGGTCTTCGAAAATGTAGCGTAAAACAAAAAACATTGACAGTTCTATTCCCTTAATACCTGGAAAAATGAAAAAGAAGGAACTATAGGTCAATACACGAATTTGAACATTTGGAAGTATGCCTCACGATATCCATAATAAAGTTACCTACTTATATTCTGAACTGGTTAGAACTGCAAATTGTCATTTGGGACTATCTAATCGATGCATCTCTGTTTGAAGGCAAAAATAACACTTTTTGAATAGAATGTGAAGTGGTATGATACCTCATTTTTACGCTTCTTCCGAATGCTTTATAATCCTGGAATGTTTATAACTCATAACCCAACAACTAGTCACCATAACGCTATGTATGTTATTTCAATATTTTCACTTGGTGACATGTACCCGAATGTGTAATAAAATACAGATCGTCCCGTTTGTGAACGAAGTGTCACATATTTAATTCCACAGCCAGATAGTTGTTTAGAATAAGTATGATATGACCCATTATAACGTTTTAATTATCTGTTGAATTATAAATGATTTTATGCACAAAAGAACCTTACTTTGAAAGCCTGCCATTTTTCCTAGAGCTATAGACTACTTGTTAAGACCTCGAATAGGAGGTGCCATGCGTATTCAAAGATCTTGAAATTTTTATCTGTAATTTTTGTATTAAGATAAGGGTAAGATGAATGTCACACATTTCGTGTTTTGTAGTAAGGTAGTTTTGTACAACCGGCAACATGCAGTCTCAATGCAGTACAATCCCGTGAGGTATCGGAAACACGCAAAAACAATAAACCTAAGATAGGCATTTTGCTGGATAATCAACCCTTAGATTTCACAGGGTGTCGCACATGACGAAAGGCTCATTTTTAACCGGCATCGACGCTAACATATATAAAATGTTTAAAATCATAAGGAAAATCTCAAAATACAATTTTGGGCTACCCTGTACATCAAAAATATTTTTTTCAATTTCTTATAATACACAATCTATCCGAGATCATTGACCAACCCTGTACAAGGAGTCTAGAAGTCTTCAAACTTTTAAATTCACTTTTCACGAAACTTACTTTTTAAGGCATACACCTTGTTTCCCCTGTGCCCTTCATTAGGGTATCCATGTATTAATTTAATAACTCGACTTTTAAATTGCTAACTTAACTGGTTCAAAAAATAGATGGGGCGGCTTTTTAAAAAACACTGTATATGACTGGGGAATGAGGACAATATCATCACAAACATTCAATTGAACATAATCTCCTAGCGACTAAATTCCCGTAACGAGATTCCAGAACCTAGCTAACACATCCGGTATAGCGTACTTCCCTTATCTGAGAGAAATTCTGACTAGAACAATCTAAACTAAATTAAAGGCTGACTCACCATGTTGTTAACACTCATCTACTGTCCTCTTTACTGTTTGCCGCTCGAAATTAAAGCTGAACTTAATTTGCATCCGTTTTGTCAGCTGTTCCATTTTATATAGCCAGTTTTCGGGATTAGAACGGAGGTACTTTACCTACTTTTTGCACCGTGTTATGTGAAGTACCGTGCTGATTCACCGAGAGTTCAACAAAGTTCAAACGCGAATTCAGATAAGTCACAGCTCTGGGGATTTCAGGCAGTTAATATTGTTATACTACGCAATGCACTAGATGCACAGGAAATTAGTCTAGTAGATGTTGGTGGTCTGTGATAAATCTGTATACGGTACACTTTTTAGTGCGATGGACTCATAATTACGTTGATACCTATCTTTCAAGTTATCTTGCGTTTACCTTCTAAAAAGTGGCATCGAGTAGACCGCACAGTTCTGTCATCAATTATAATATCTACTGGGCGTTCCAAATTCGACCCTCACCATTGGGATCTTGGAAACGATGAGATATACGAAGTCGCTTAAGAGTGGACAAAGTTGCGTATTTAGGTAATTGAGAAAATGCTGTTTAGAAAGTCCTCCACCATCAACTTTATTTTTATTATAGATGCAAAGATAGATAAATTACGCCAATCATGACTTTAGTAATTAGTATTTATATATTCAGTCATGCAAAATTACACGAGTACTCCTCAATAGTTTCTTTTTGAAAGTTTTAGCAATCGGTAATATAATTACAGTGCAATCTCCGTAATTCGAGCTAATTGTTGCAAGAAGATGTTCGAATTATGGAATGTTTTCGGAAAAATCAAAAAATATTTTTAATATACAGCTGCTGGATTTTCTGTCTTATTTAAATAATTTAATTTTGCCCACAGATGACTGATGCCATGTCCGAATCTAAAAAGAAATGTAGACAGTACAGTGTTGATTATTTGAAATTTGGCTTCATTCCATCATTGCCAGACAAACGATCGCCTACGTGCCTTTTATGCAACAAAGTTTTGGGCAATGACGCTATGAAACCATCTAAACTGCAAGATTATCTGAGAAGATGCCACCCGGACAAAACAGAGAAAGGTTTGAAATACTTTCAAACACTCAAAGATAAATTTCAGAAAAAACCTACCCTAGACAAAATGTTCGCTTCGACGTCACAAAGAAATGATGATGGTTTGCGGGCGTCTTACAATATCTTACTTATAGCAAAATCCGGAAAACCGCATACTATCGGAGAGAAGTTAATTTTGCCAGCCGTTGAAGAGGTTTTAAAAACTGTTTTACACAAACCTGCATCTGATATCATTAAAAGAATTCCCATAAGCAACAATACTGTTGAAAGACGTATTGATGAAATGAGTTCTGATATTGAAAGCTTCTTATGTAATTATTTGGAAACGACCCATTTCTCTATACAACTGGACGAGTCAACTTTACCTGATAATGCAGCATTATTATTGGAATATGTTCGTTCTATTATGAATAAAGAAATCTACGAAGACCTGCTCTTCGCAAGAACATTGATAACCGACACTAAAGGTGAATCAATATTTCATGTTTCGAAGGATTACCTCATTGAAAAAGCAATTCCTTTATCAAATATAATATCAGTAGCTACAGATGGAGCACCTGCCATGGTTGGACGTTATCGTGGATTTATAAGCTATTTAAAACAAAATGTGACAGGGGTGTTAGCAATACATTGCGTCATCCATCGACAACATTTAGTTGCTAAAAATTTGAGTGTTAGATTGCATGAATCACTTCATTTAGTCATTGATGCAGTAAACCGAATCCAAAGCAACGCGTTGAATACGCGGTTATTTGCGCAGTTGTGTGAAGAAAATGACGAACACTTTCATCAATTACTCCTTCACACTGAAGTACGCTGGCTGTCGAAAGGCTTATGTTTGACAAGATTTTTGGCACTTTTTGATACTATTTTAGAATTTCTGGATACTAAAGATAAAATTTTAAAAGAAAATTTAATGAAGAGGAAAACAGACATCGCCTATTTAACAGATTTGTTTACAAAATTTAATATGGTTAATTTGCAATTACAAGGCGACAGTTTAAATTTGATTAAAACAAAGTCCATCTTATCAGCGTTTCTTGCCAGAGTTAAACTAATGAAGCAAAATATTGGACGGGGCGAATTTTCTCAGTTCCCCAATTTGTCACAGACCAGCTGCCAGGAAGACGCAGTTTCAACTTACGTTCAACATTTAAGTGCAATCTATTCAGATTTTGAATCTAGGTTTGAGGATATTTTGACTATGGTAATACCACCGTGGATAATTAATCCATATGATGATATAAAAGAAACGAATGTCATAATACAAGAGGAACTGACTGAACTAAGTACAAACAAAGAACTTAAGGTTCAGTTTAAAAACGGATATTAGCAATTCTGGCTGCAAAACAACATACCCATTACTTATCCCGTATTATGGAATATAGCGAGGAAATTTTTAATTTCCTTTCCATCGTCATACCTAGTGGAAAGGGGGTTCAGCGCTGTTACCAGTCTCCTAACGAAAAAAAGAAACAGACTAGCCATCATTAGCCGAGGAGATTTGAGATTAACCCTTACAAAATTGACGCCAAATGTTGATAATTTATTATTAAAGCATCAGGTTCATCTTTCTCACTAAAAATATTGACTTATTGCTTATGTTATTTTATTTATAGTTTATTTTATGTTTATTGGTGTCTGACCAATAAATGCCCGCATTGGGAATAAGTGCCCGCATTGATTTTTTTAAAGAACCCCCCTTTATAGAAAATATTTTTTTTTAAATTATTCTGAAAATTCAAGGATAGGTACACACTAAAATTCGTTAATTTTTTGCCTATCTTTAGATAACTTAATCAAACTAACAGTGAAATTATTGTAGAACATACGCTTATGTTATAATTAATAAACGAACTCGCTTATTGTACTATTTTAAGTAAAAAACTTTTTTTTTATTATTTTTCACTTTTTTTTATTATTATTTTATCCCTCTTATTTTTTTTCAATGCGGGCACTTATTTACTCCCATTGCGGGCACTTATTGGGCAGACACCTATTTATTTAATGTTACGTATATTTTACATAACAGACACAAAATTTTATTTTGAGTAGTTTCAATTTAAATTCAATTAATAAATGCATAAATCAACATGTGTTTTTACTTTAAGTTTTTAACACTAAACTTCACTACAGTTAGAAATTTACAGGAAATCAATATCAGGTAAGTAGGGGGTCTACCCAACACGGAAAAACATGGCAAGGGGTCTACGACAAAAAAAGTTTGGAGAACTCTGATTTAAATGGACTTTTCAGGCCTAATTTGAGTGCTTAAGTTTCCTTACTAGGCCATGAATGTATTATTTAATGAAAATTATAAAGAAATAAAAGGGTGTTTTGAAAACTGAAGACAAAATGAAACTTTTATTGGTGGTAATAACAATAATAATTATAAACAGGCAGAGGTAGATTATATAGCAGATGTTTTTCACTGTTCGATTTATTTTCCTTCTTCTCAGTCTTCCAAACTCTGTTGTAATGTTCAATGTGAGATTTGGTCTGATATACGAAACAAATGAAATCTGATAATTTCATGGCGTACCTATAAACTTCGGTTTAACTGTTATAACTAAAGTTTTACAATGTCAACGTATCACATATTTTTGAAACCAGAATTAAAAACTCTATTCACCTACACAAAAGTCCAATATGGCACCCATAAGAAAAAATTCAAAAACATGATGCTGGGAACAGACGAAACGTCGTATTGAAATTCTCATCGTGCGATCTTGTACAGGAGAAAGAGTGGCAATGTTAATGTACAATTTATTTTGAAATCCCACTACAAATGAAGTCAGTGAAAATTCAAACGGCTTTGGTAAAATTCGTGTTTGCCGTCTCTATCTGGAAGTAAATCGAATTTCGAAATTTCATAAGCGGTATTTAATAAGCAAGTTTGCTCAAATTCAAGCAACTTTGTATCTCTTACAGTTTACGAGATCCCAGTGGTGAGGGTTGAGTTTGAAACACCCTGTAGATAACCACATCGGTAAAATTTCTATTTAAAAATTCAGTCACGCTATAAAATGGTTTTTCTACCAAGTAGGCTTTCACAGCCTTATTTAAATCTATTCCATTTCATATTTTACAACTCGCTGGAAAGAATTAAGGATTCACACAATTTTTTTTAGTGATCTGTTTAGTATGTGTCTGTTATTATAGAAAACTATTAGAGATCAAAATGATTTTTGCATAAGATTTTTCAGGTGATCTTTAAATCTAAACTGAGAATCTAGAACTATAGCGAGATTTTTTGTACTTTCAACAAAATTCAATTTTGAATTATTAGCCATTATATTGAGATTAGCTTTCAAAAACTCAGTCTTAGATTTGTTACTTAAAATCATTACATGCGATTTTTCCGGATTAAATTTTAAGTTGTGACCTAATGAGAGATTGCTTAAGGTGTTAATGTCCTCATTTATGCAATTTTCGTAATATTTGTAATCCTCAATATCAAAAAAACAATAAACTTGGGTGTCATCCGCGAAGGCCTGAACTTTACAAAACTTTGAGGATATCAGATGTGTAAATTGAAAATAACAAGGGGCCCAATATTGATCACTGAGGAACTCCCGATAGGATCTCCGCTTTGTCTGAGAATGTGTCATTTAATAGAATCGATTGATACCTTCCTGTCAAATATGATTTTAAAAGCAAACATGCTTCCTTATTAAAGCCATAGTACTGATGTTTAGCTACCAACAATTCATGCTTAATGGTATCAAAAGCTTTTGAAAAGTCTAGAAGTACCAAAACTGACCTCATCGAGCACGTTTGTTAGAGCCACTGATGTACCAAAATTTTTACGAAAACCACACTGAGTACCAGGAATAATATTGTTACTCATACAAAAGTCATAAATTTGTTGGTACAGCACTCTTTCAAATATCTTTGACAAAGCAGGAAGTATATTTATCACACGAAGTTCGTTAAAACTTGATGGATTAGTTATTTTTGGTAATGGTTTTCCTATGGAGATTTTCCACTTGTCGGGAAAGTAGCCTGTTTCAATGGAACAGTATATAATATGTGTTATATACTTATCTATGTACAGACTACAATGTTTTATCATTAAGTGCGAAACATCATCTATCCCGCTTGCATTACTTTCTATGTTGTTTAAAATTTTGTTTATATTTGTTATTTCTGCTAATTTAAAGTTGAAGGTTCAGTTATTTTTAAAGGCATTGTTTTTATAAACTTTAATTTGCTCCATATCTAGTTTTTGCAAGTCACGTATATTCTGGAACTATAACACTATGAATTCTGGTGTTATATCTGTGTGTTTCTTCTGGTATTACTATACTCAGCCTGGTGCTTCTTAACATAAAGCAGACGCGCTAAGATATGTGCAAGGACCGTCAAAATCTTCGTCTATGAAAGCCTGCCTGCAACATTGTCAGAAACTCTCAGGCATCTTCTCTAGACTGTAAAAACTTTTGAGATATGTGTAGAGTGTTCCCATATTAATATACAATATTGCATACTGGATCAAAAGTACAATATTCTATACTTAAAAAACCGGTTAAAATTTTCAAGGTCGCCAAGTATCTAAATTAATGGTTAAGCCTTGCTCCGAAGAGTATTTGAAGATTACTTTATTTCAGAGCGATTTTTAACCTTGCCAGTTAGCCCAAAATTGGAGAACTTTCAGTTTTGGCAGACAGTACAGGTCATACCACCAATTCATCCGGATGACATTCGCAGAGCGACGAATCTTGTTCATGAAGTAAGAAATGCTCTTCATGAATTCCGCAATGAGCAATAGAACGACTTTCTGGCGGGGATGCTTGACTCAAGCATTCCTCTCTGGAAGGTGGCAAAGTCGCTCAAAAATGGAAAGCGTGAAGAAATCCCATTCACGGTCCTGGAGGCATTGTCTTCAGGACAGAGGAGAAGTTGAGGTTTTCGCAGATGCCATGGAAAGACAGTTATCTCCCAACTATGATCTTGATAATGACCTCGACGAGGAGCAACACAACGTAAGATCTGTCAGGAGATATTTTAGGGCCAACGGCGTCAGTGACAGTCGCGCTATTGTTGGTGATTCTTCTTCATCAGAAGATTCTTCTTCAGAAGCTTCTTCAACCGAAGATCTGCTTAGCACGACAGCGGCATCTCCTGAGATCCCGCTTTGCACACCAGCAGAGATTCGAGGTCATATTAAAGACCTTAAAGTGCGTACAGCACCTGGCGAGGATGAAATCACTAATAAGGTGCTGAGCTGCTTTCTCGGAAGTCCTTCACTTATCTCGTGACAATAGTCAATGCCTGCTGTCATCTCCATCTAAGCTCGCTGAATAGGTGATTCTACGTCACCTTGAGAATTTCTCGTCAGATCGTCATGTGATTCCTGAGGTGCAATTCGGTTTTCGGTCTGAACATAGTACGGAGCTACAGGCGGTTAGGCTGGTGGAACGTGTAACCAGAGGATTCACCCTTAATGAAAGTACTGGCATCTTGCTTTTGGATGTCTCAAAATCATTTGACAAGGTGTGGCACGCGGGGCACTTGTATAAACTAATCCAAAAGGGCTCCCCTTTTTGGCTTCTTAAACTACTGAAATCCTTCCTTGAAGGTAGAAAATTTCGGATCAAAATTGACTATGTTCTGTCGACAACACGGATGATTACAGCCGGCGTCCCTCAGGGTTCGGTCCTTGGACCTATCCTTTACTCACTGTACATCTATGACGTCCCTAGTCCCAGCAACTGTGAAGTCTACCTCTATGCTGATGGTACTGCATTGGTGGCTCAGTCGTGGTCTGGTGACCTAGTCCATGACAGGCTGCAAAGTGCGGTGGAGGAAGTATTAGATTGGGCGGATCGGTGGCTAATTAAAATAAACCATTCGAAAACGGAGGCAATCTACTGTACAAAAAGATGTCGCGGCGTTCCGTCTGAACTTTCAATGAATGGACTTCGTATACCATGGGAATCCTCCGCTAAGTATGTCGGTGTCATTCTGGACAAAGGGGTGACTTGGCGGAACCACATACGAAGCGCTAAAAACTAAATTCTAAATTACGTTTCGACAGCTTTACTCATTATTATGTAAACGTTCAAAATTAAGTTTGATTAACAAGATTCGACTCTATAAGGTGGTCATAAGACCAGCAATGACTTACGCATGTGCGGCTTGGTGTTTTATTGCTAAAACACACATGCGAAATCTGCAGGTTCTGCAAAGCAGGACGTTGCGCACTATTGCTGATGCCCCATGGTATGTCTCTAACGAAACTCCACATAGAGCCCTCGATGTTCCTTACCTAAAGGACTACATTAAGCAACAGGCGCAGCGGCGCTATAGCCTAGCGGAATCGCACAGCAA